TGTATTTCTAATAAATTTTATACTTACATAAATAAATAGGACTTTTAATTAATGTTACTATTTTTTTCATATAGTTATTAGATTTTAATTTAGTGTAGGGACAAAATGAAAATGTTTATTCCGAATATAAAATTTATTTTGTAATTGATAAATTTTTAAATGATTATATTCACATATTTTCACTCTTGAGAAGTTTAATAATTTTGGAAAATGATGTTCAGAAGCATATAATTACATCACAAGAAAAGTTATTAACAAAACAAATGAATTTAGACTACACCATGTTAACTTCATATATTGGAACATTACATACTAATGTATATATTAAGCAAAAAAATAATTATTATATCATCAAAATTATTTTTCTGTCACGACCCAAAAATGGATGTGATGGCACTCGTCGTATCCCACCAAGACAAGTCAGCCTAAAACCCAATCATTTCTATAAAGTGCGGAAATAAAGCAAAGTTCAATAACAATTACTATTACGAAAACAAGTCAACTTAATTCAATCCCCAAAACCTGGTTGTCACGTGCACAAGCCTCTAATGTAAATACTAGAATTGAAATAAAATACACAAGTCTCAAATGATGTTGTCTTTCAAGTAAAAACAAAATCATAAACAGGAGTAAGGAGGTTCGCTGAGATGACAAACAGCTACCTCTCAGATCTCCACAGAAAGCCTCGAAACGAAGAGAATGGAAGGTATCACGAAGATCTGGGCTCGTAACCTACAAAAGATTGTAGAAGCAAGGGGTGAGTACCAAACCACACGGTACTCAACAAGCAAACCTCTAAACACAAGCTAAGGGTACAGAATACGGGTACTCCTTACACCCCATCCTAACCTCCATAGCTACAACCTGCATAAAACCAGCCCAACCTAACAATTCACAGTTTACAAATCATACAGCTCAACAACAGCACTCTAACAGATTATATATTCTCAATAACAACTCAATATTCATCAATAACAAGTTTCACAGAAAGGCACTCACAAGATCAGCAACACACAAGACCAAGTTCATCAATAATAAAAATAATGCAATGCAATGAAATGCAATGTCAAGTATAGTGATGCATGTCTGACCTAATGATACACACCCGCTGTCTCTCAGTCCGGGACCCATGGGGGACATATCTGTCCATGCATCCATCGCGGCGCGCGATACGTCCCTCGAAATGGTACATCCTCTTTAATTTCTTATTCTTTCTCAATGCACATAACACTTATCACAACCATGTCTCAGAACAATGCAAATGACATGTTCACTCAAATAATGAGGAGATGACCATTTTCGTAACATTGCACAAATCACAACAATAGAATCATGATACAACTTCAACAATGATTCAACAAGTCTTTCAAACAATTCTCAAACACATCACACAAACAATTGATCACATTACTCCCAAACATATACCACAAGGAAATACACGAATTCCATACGCTTAACAAGGGTTTAGAAATCCACTTGCCTCAATCAATCAAGAATTCACTCCAGGACTTGAGCCTTCCCTTTACGTTGAGCTTCCAAATCAATGCAATCTATTCAAGTACATAGTCACAATAAGATTTCGAAACTAACAACATCCATATTACTATAGGTTTAGCCTAGATCCATACGATCACCCAAATCTATAATCAAGTTCCTAAGTTTTAAGCTTAGGGTTAAGTTTCAACTCTTTTCCAATATCATAATTCGAATGGTATTTATATGATACGATAGATCTAATATTAATTACCTATCTTAATATGCCAAAACTTAACTCATAATGTGATAATAATAAGAGATTAAGCCAAATTACCAATCATCCACAGAAAGAACACCACCTCCGAACCTAAGAATACATACGTCCTCACTGTATCTCCAATTCAAATTCCTAATTGCTAACCACACATAGTGTAGTAATCATTACCTATCAACTTTTCATATCCTCAATATATCAACTTGAACTATAATGTGATAACTACAAACTTTTCAAAATCAAAACCAAGTTACGAAATCAATACTTAACAGTAACTAATGTGTGCTCGTGAAATACTTTTAGAAAGAATATTATTAGTGCATCTATTCAATAATATCACATCCCCTAATCAATGGTCATAATTGCCCTATGATATAGTCCCAGTTCTTGTCGGCAGTAACCCATAAAACAATACTTATACATTAATTTGAAACACCAATATTGGAGAAACTTAAAAACCAACTCGTTACACCCGTAGATCCTCACTATAGTTTAACACAATTTACTGTTATCTAAAACTTACCAATTATTAGCTTATTGTTGGCTATCAATATGTCAAAATATTTCCCACTCCAACTTATCCTTTAAAGACCAAATTCCAATGGAATACATAATTTAAATATTCAATTCTTTTCCTCCCATCAGAACTAACGCCACATACATGATCATTAGTGGAAAAAGTTTGTTAACCAATTGGACCATTTGGTTTTTAACTCTTTCACTTGCAAACACACACACATATATATATATATATAAAATCATCATAAAAGCTTAGTTAGATTTCTTACTTGAAGGAAGAGGATTCACTGCTCAAGTCCTCTTTTTACTTTGTGACTTGATGCCGCACTAACTGTACGGTTCTCTCTCACAGTTTAGGTTTAATTTATTTTACATGGGTCACTAAATGAATTATGGACTTGACCCATTACCCAATAACTAAATAAATCAATTATTTAATAAATATTCATCAATTAAATAATCATATTTATCGAATAGTTTAAAATTCTTAAAATCAACTTCATCGACTAATCATGAATGACTCACGACAACTATCGGGAGGGGTAAAAAAAATGGTAATTTTATAAAAACTTCAAATATGACTTTCCAGGTCATTACGTTTTCTCAAATACTCGAGGTTATGAAATGTACCCTCTTAGGATAGAACAATTTACTTCATCTATTTAGTAGTACCTCATATTTTGCTAAACTTCGAACTCACTCAACGAAAACAAATCACACGAAATTTTTTAAAATGCAGGAAGAAAAGTAGGAGATTAAAAAAAATTGTGGTTGAAAAATGAGAGGAAGCCCCTCTATTTATAGTCAACAAAGAGTAGTATGAACAAATGTTTTTTGTATCTTATCTGAAAAGTCATGACCTTTCCGAGAAGTCATAACCCTTTGGAAAAGTCACAACTCACCGAAAAACCACAACCTACAACTTATCGGAAAAGTCACAACTCATCAAAAAAGTGACCTTTCCGAGAAGTCACAACCCTTTGGAAAAGTCACAACTTATTGAAAAAGTCACAACTCTTCGAAAAATCACAACCTTTGAAAAAAGTCACAACTTATCGAAAAAGTCACAACCTAAGTTAAGAATATTATAGTAATTTAACATTCAAGTAAGGAGTTCATGCTTTTAAGGTAATATAGATTGACTAGCTTTTCTAGTTTTAGACTTAGAAGAACTACCGGTTTTTTTATTAGTCGTGGAATTTGAGTTAAATAAATTAGTGAACGACTCAACTATGGTTTTTTTTTACCTTTTTCAACATTTTTTTTTCCGGAATCCATATTCAAATATGAAAAGTGAGTAAATTATATATAATACGAAAATGTAATGCAAACAAATAAATAACTAAATAAGTAGAGACTAGAGACTAATTACTCACAAAATAAATAAATAAATAATTAAATGCAAACAAATAAATAACTAAATAAAAAGTGAGATGGAACGAATGTACCAAACGTCTACTTAAAAAGGTAGACGTGTATGACCGAAAGTCGAAAACTGAAAGTTGAATTTTGAAGCTCCAAAGACCAAATTCGTAATCCACAAAATCTTTCAAACTAATATAATTTGTAATTTGTACTTTAAAAGAGAATAAGAGATTAGAGAGTTGAGACTTGAGAGAGTAGAAGATGAAGAATATTTTTGTGAGTAAAAATAATGAAAGATCGGGGGTATATATAGTTTAAAAAAAGGATAAAAATGTATTTTTTAAAAGTTTGGGGGGTGGGGGTGTTTTGGGGAGTTATGGGGTGAAAGAGTTGTTGGGTGGGGCCCAATACCCATTCCCCAACGACCTTCCAACAACTTTTTTTAAATTTAAACAAATAATAAAATTGGATGAACAGGACTGGACTGGGACCAGAACTGGGACTAACCGGTAAAACCCGGTTTTCAACACGTTACCCCTCCCGGTAACCCTACTTAACGAAATCAGACCGGTAACGAAACGAAACTAGACCGGTAACGGACCGGGATAAAACGGTACTGGAACCGTCACCTCCCGGTTCCATTGCCAGACTTAGTGTAGGGGTGGTAGGGGATGAGTGAGGTAAAAAAAAAATTAAAAATTAAAAATATTTTTCAAAAATAATTTTAATTTTTTTTTGTTTGTTTGGGGATAGGGCTATTGCGGGATGGTTTGGGAGTACGAGTAAAACGATATTTGAAATTTAAAAAATAAAGAAATTGAAAATTTTAAATTTTTTTGAATCGGAGGGTTGGATACGAGGTACGGGTACGGAGTACGGATTAGGGTAAGAAAAACAATATTGTAATTTAAATATGAAGTAGAATTTTGTAAAATATTTTCCTTAATTTTTGAAGAAAAGTCATTTTTGGAGGAAAATAAGTTGATTTTCCAAATCATTTAAGCCAATCAAACATGGGAACATTTTCGAGAAAATGCACCCTTAAATCTATCTAAAAAAATATGAGAGGATATAGTTATTGCATCTCCCCGAGTTCCTCCTATATTGTCGCAGTTAATTTTTCTTTTTCAGTTTCAATTTTTTTTAATGAACTACATTGTAAGGATCGTTATGTCTTCTATGGTTTGGTTTGGGTTGATGTTGAAACTCTCACGCTTCATAAGATTCCTGATATCTACAAAACCATGTGATTGTATATTATGTATTCTAAAGCATAGACTTCATCAAAAGTCTTTATTTCCTAGGTAGTGTTTTGTCCAAGAAGCAGAAGACTCAAGTTCATTGACTATTTTTGTTAATATCAATAATGTTAGTTGTTGCATTCCTCTTGCGGATTTTATCTGCGATAGGAGGGATGATGATGGTGGTACCACAGACAGAGTTGGAAGGTAATCAAGAAGACAAAACTAGACGAAATGAAAAAATAGTCGAAAAGGCAGCTCAAATACATGTAGTTGTAGCAAGTCTATCAATAACAGTTACCTTCACAACTGGTTTCACTTTCCCAGGAGGCTTTGAGAGCGATACTGAGAGCCCTAATAAAGGGATGGCGATTCTATTAAAAAGAACATCATTCTGTGCATTTGTTATTCAGATGCCATCACCTTTCTGTGCTCCTCAGGTGTTGTATTCACCTACTTTGCTATGGCAGCAAATGCAGTATCATCAGTGACGTAGTCAACAATTATTATCCAACTGTTTTGCAGCTTCTAGTGATGTCAGCATTTGTAATTGCATTTGCAATTGGTATGCAAGTTACTTTAGCACATTCAGTTGGTCTAGCCATTGCTATATGTGTCATTGGCTGCATCTCTTTCGTTATGTTTTGCTCGGTTATGCTTCTTCTTTGTGGAAATAGGCCTAGAGAAAGAACTTGACCAAACCCTATTATCTAAACAAAAGTTAGAAACGTGTATCCATTGCGTGACAAGAAGATTTCATTGTTCTAAAGATGCATCAATGTGTTTTATGAAATCATTACATGGAGAAGAAAATGATAGGCTATGATATAGTGTACCTCTTTGCCATCTTCACATTTGATGAAGTGCCTGCATAAATGTACTTATGTAGGGCATAACTTGTGCCTAATGAATTTTTTAGGGTAAAGGTTTGTCTTGCGAATTAGATGATGTTGAACTTATGTCCTAGAGCATACATTCTCTAAAAAGGTTTGCCTAGTGAAATTAAGTCATTTTACTTATAGGTACTTTGGACAAACAAATTTTCATCAAATGAGCAATATGGGAAAAAATAATTAAAGACCATCCCAAAATAGCGGCAGTCCCTGGAAAAATTTGTAAAGTAGAAACAACTCCGTATACAAGTTCTATAGAAAGTTTAAGATCAGAAGGCCCAATATTCTTTATGGAATGGAACTCATAAGATACAATTGATCATAGTTGGAAATTGTATGCAACATATCTTTATTGAACATAAGTTAATCAGAAGAATATCAAATACATTGCTAGTTGCATCTTTAGAATGATGAAATCTTATTGTCACACAATGGATCTGTTCAGATTATCTCTAGGCCTTTTTTTAGGAAGAAGAATCATAAATCAGATCAGATAGAAAGAGATGCCGTCGATAATGCATACAGTAACGACAAGACCAACTGAATGTGCTAAAGTAGGATACATACCAGTTGCAAATGCAACTAGAGCTGTGGTCATCACCAGAAGATGCAAAATAGCATGCATGAGAATATATTTGATATCATGTCTTCTTCTTCATCTCTCTCATCCATTATCGACTGATATAATGTCCCAAATTCCTCCATGTCTACAGATCCGTTTCTGTTTATATCTATTTGATCGATCATTTGCACCAATTATTTCAGGAATGTTAATATCACTATAACAAAAGAAGAATTTAGCGGCAATAATGAAATTGCGGCTAAATAGTATTTTAAAGCCAACATTTACCGCAATTAACCTTAAGCCACTAAAAAGTAACCCTTAATATCACTTTCCTTTTCTCTTTTATCCTCAAATACCCAAAAACCCTATTCAGTCAAATTTATTTCATTCTCAAATTCCCAAAATACCCGATCTCTTTCTCCATTCCATCTGAAGCACTGAATTGATTTGAAGCTTCCTTCCATGGCCACGATGGATTTGATCTGAAACACAAATCAATTTTTATTTCTTTTTGCTCGATCTGAAGCATGCAACAAGAGGTAATCTCTATTTCTCTTTCTTTCTGCTTGATCTCTCATCCTCGTTGGTAAGCACACAACTAGATAAACCTGGGTTTGATTCAATTAACTTCGTATAACTTTGAAGAAAACATAGCTGGAGAAACCTGTGCATATTTAGCAGATTCTGTTTTCTTCTATATTTAGCTTGAGAAAACGATGTGAAATTCTCTATCTCAGGATCGAGGTAAATATAAACTGTTATTTGACACTTATTCTTGAATAGTTCACTCTAGAACCCTAACTGAGTTCTATAATTTCCAGAGAAGAGAGAAGATTGTTATTAATTGAGAAAATGTATATCTGATGTTACAATTGGGAGTTCTGTTACTTATACAAGAACTGACCGAAGTGGTGATGTGTCTTGCTGGGGAGATTGTTTTCACATTGATTGATTTATACATATCATGTGATTTACATCCCCATTGTCATTTCCTCCATGTATAGGTAGTTTTTCAGTCTTTTAGGGTGTGTTTGGTATGAAGGAAAATGTTTTCCTGGAAAACAAGTTGATTTTTGATTTATTTTCTCATGTTTGGTTGGTGACTAGAAAATATTTTTTTGAAAATAAAAAATTGAAATTAGAAATATCTTTTAAAAACAACTTTTAATACTTTTTTGGGAGGGGGTGGTGGTAGGGGGTGGGTGTAGGGGTGAGGGTGAGGGTGAGGTAAAAAAATTGAATTTAAAAACAAGCTTTAATTTTTTTTTGGGGGGGGGGCTGGTTTGAGGGTAGGGAGAAAATAAATTATTTTTTTCAACAAAAAAATAATTGTAATTTAAAGTTGGAAGAGAGTTTTGAAAAATGTTTTCTTTAAGTTTTGAAGGGAAGTCATTTTCTTTAAATTTGAGGAAAATGAGTTGATTTGGAAAACATTTTGGAAAACATTTTCCAAAAACACACCCTTAATGATTAGTTTTCTCTAGGTAGTTTTATTTTTCAGATGACTACCATAACTAAACAATTGAATCATTACAAATATCACACAATAACTCATCACTCAACAACTTTTCTCTATTTCACCACCATGAAAATGACCTAATGATGAAAGTTCACTCTTACTTATCAAGAGAGTTTGAAAAAAATTTCAATAGAGTACCTTAACATGTCGAATTGGAGACCTTGGTGTTACAGTATTAGACTCACACCGACCAAGTAATGCCCTTAAAGACAACCGAGTTTTATACCTGGGATAGAAAGGTGAAGTATCTGGTGGCGCAAATCCCTATCCAAACAAATAGGAACAGGCAACTACTTGATGCAAGTCTATTTTTCTACGTAGGGGCATGGGAAAACCAAATAAACCGACGAAGCCTTTCAACATGTCATGTAATCCAAGTGCTAGAATAATAATTTGATGAACAACAAGCAATATAGCTCTTAAAGTCCAAACATATATGTGTAGGCTTCTGTACAATACAAAATAGTTCAGAGCAAACATGTTAACGAAAAACAAAATAAGACCACTCCTTTACAGAAAATGGCTTCTAATGATTTATCTTAGAACACCATTACCTGCCTATAGGAAAGAGCATATCCCTTCAAGAATATATAACTTTTTTATTTATTTATTGACGGAACATGAAGTTGCTTTGTCCTGATCCTCTCAAATCTTTATCCCTTTTCAACTATCAAAGCAGAGTGAATATATAACCAGTGCAATTTGCTAATCATGCTTAAGTATTTATGTGATAACCCACTAGCCAAACAATATGTCTCATACTCATTCTATAACTCTTGCAGTTCAGATTTTTTTTGAACAAAAGTCATTTGCATTAGCCCTACCATTCTAGAAGAGAGCACAAATCATCAAAATATACTTCCCTCTTCAACACCTCTCAACATAGGCTAACACATTTAAGATAATATAACATGCAAGACAATCTTAACACAGTCCAAAAAAAAAAGACCACCATGATTGTTATGAGATTGAGAAGAAAGAAAACAAGTGAGTGGAGTAAGCCCTTTGTTTTAATTTACTCTGAACCAAACAAAAAAGAAAGCATATGATCACCAAAATGTAGATCTGAAGTATTTATCAGAGGCGGGGGTAGAGCTGAACCAACATCTAGTTTGGGTTCTTGTTTCATCCTCAACACTCTTTCACTCCTTAGAGAAGCTATTGGTTCCTGATGTTGAGATTCTTGAGAAGGGGTGGCTACTTCTACATTTGTATATTTTGGGGCTTGATCTTTTCTTATTCTCCCTCTCTTCCCCATTTTCTATCTTCAACACTGTTTTCTTCAAAGATGAAATGTTTTTCTCTCTCTGTGCCACTCAACAAGAAGCTTCTGAGCTTGGAAAAATGATACTACAGAGTGCAGGCATTCTATATGAATAATGGGTATCGATTTCGTACAAAACAGTATGAAGAGTTCATGCAGACCCAAAATTGTGGGGTTCTGGTTGTCTCGATGATAGAGAGCTATGCAAGTACTAGTGATAGTGCTCCGAAATCAGCAAATATTACATATTATGGCAGATTGAATGATATTGTTGAGTTGAACTACTACGAAAAATTTAAAGTCATCTTATTTAAATGTGATTAGGTTGATGTAACTCAAGGTCAAGAGTTATGAAAGACGACTTAGGTTTCACGCTTGTGAACTCCTCACATCTAATACATTCAGATGACCGGGTAAGTATTGAGCCATTTGTTTTTGCTGGACAAGCTCAGAAAGTGATATTTGTTCAAGTTCCTGAAGATCATGAATGGTTTGTCCCAAGGTCAATTAAACTGCGATACATTTTTGATATGGGAGAAGAAAATAGTATACGATTTGACTCATCAATGCAGTGTGATACAACTGATTTAACTATCTTGGAAATATTGACAACAATGATTGGGTAAGAGGTGGAGTTGATGGTATAGAAATTGTTATGGACTGAAATTTCAAATTCCTCCTACAGAAGGTGAGTGCATATTAACTATTTTGAAGCTGCTGCAATTTATTTATTTTTCCAGCCAAGTTTCTGTTACTTGTCTCACGCTTACGCTATTTATTTTTGTGATTGTTTTAATGTGCTATCTGAAGGTTGCTTTTGATAATATTGTAGTGAACTCTGGAAATCTCCCTTCTTTTCCACTATCAAGGATATACTGAAAAACTCCCTCCTTTTGCATATGTTATAGGCCATGTTTCTGGGAGGAAGCACATTGGGATTATGTCAGGTATGTCTTTCTCCAAATCTATTTCCTCGTTATTCTGAATTTTGAAGCTATTGCCTTAGCTATGTTACATCGTAGTCCTTCTAGGTAACACTAGGTGACTTAGTGCCAATAGTAGTAGAATAATTTGGAAGATGAAATTGCAGACATTTATAGCCTACTCATACTGATATTCTGCTTATACAAAATATAAAATGTTGATATTCTGCTTATACATCGAGCTTTACATGTTTGAGTTACTATATTTGGACAAGATGGTAAAGCCTTCCTTATTTTCTTGCATAATTGATTTATTTGACGCTGTTGTTCCAACCAAATTGGACAAGTTGGCATAGACTTCCTTCAGGTCTGGGCATTTATTTGGATCCTCATTCAAGCATTTTACTGCTAAGTCTATGATGTTATTAGCAAGCTCATCATTATCTTGCAGAATTGATTTTATCCACTATTGATCTTTTTTCCTCCTTGGAGCTGCTTCAGAATCCCGGTGGATTGCCATTTTCTTAAATTT